TATTATTTTATTATATTAAATTATATATTTAATTTATTTTTATTTTATTTTATATATTTAAATTATTATATATTTATATATATAATAATTTAGTTTAATATATAATAATTAATATATAATAATTATTTAATTAATTATTTATATTATTATATATATATATTCTTTTAAATTTATTATTGTTATTATTATTATTATTATTATTATTATTATTATTATTATTATTAATAAATTTATTAAAATTAAATTAATAAAAATAAATAATATACTTTATTTAAAAGATCTTTTATCTTACATTTTTTTTTTTACTAAATTTAATTTAATTATTACATAATGAATAAACAATAGTAATAATACAGATATATATTATTACTATAAAATTAATTAAATAAATATATATATAACTATATTAACACTAGATTTACGGATGTTTTGTTCAATATTTTTTAATAACTTACAAACATTGTTTAAATGAAAGATTGAATAGAGGGTAGGAATTAATATTTAAATATATTTCATTACGTAACTTAAGAACAACATGTATTTTAATAAAATAATATTTAAGTTTTGTGTATATATGTATCAAAAAAATTTGAGATGAGTCAAATTGGCTCAGTTCGTAAATCTAGTGTTAATATATATATATAAATAACTATAAAATAATTAATATAAAATTAAATAAAAAGAATACTGAAAATAATTGCACAAATAAAAATATTTTAGAATAAACGGAAGATGAGAATGAGAATGAGAAAAAGAAAGAGAAAGAGAAAGGTTTGGAAGGGTGAAAAGGGTGGAAGGAAGAAAGTATGGTAACAGATATCGATGGTTTTAACCAGTTGGTATCCCATCGAAATGATTTCGTTTAGAAAAAACAAAAAAAGAAAAACATCATTGCAATTGGAAATAGTACGGGGGGATCACAATTTCTTTTATTTTGATTCCCCTGTTTTTTTTTTGTTTTTTGTTTTCGGTGAAAACGCATTTTAAAAGCTTCGAGTATAGAAACCCTGGCTCGAAATCGTAATGTAACTTTCTAATTAGCAATTCCGAAGCGTGGCACGACTCCGACGGTTTAAAAGAGAGTAAGGATGAATCTCGATATTAGATTTGAAAGTTAATTAGCTCGTTTCTCCTTTCTCACCGTTCGACAAAAAAAAAACATACAAAAAGAAAAAGGGAATGATAAAAAGAGAAACAAAAGAAATAGCCAAAAAAAAAAAAACAAAACGAGCAAGAAGAGGAAGAAGAAGAAGAAGTAGAGGAAAAGGAAAAAGCTCGAGAAGCTTTTTTTATATCCCCTCCCTACCGCCTCCCCCCCTCCTCTACTCTATCACCACCCCTTACCATTCCCTCACTTCTACAAGTTCGTTTTTTCTACTCTGGTTAATAGCAGTGGGAAAAAAGCTCCATCGGTACGAAAAAAAGCTTTTTCGGCTACTCGCACGCATAAATGCGAATACGAAAGTATACATATGGATGTATAATTTTTTTGTTTTTGTTTCATCATTATTATTATTATTATTATTATTATTATTATTATTATTGTTATTATATTCTTCAATTATTTTCCTCTTCTCTCTCTTTTTTTTTTTTTTTATTTTAATTCTAAAACATACTAAATAATTCTCGCACGGTTGTTACTCAACATCTAAAACATACAAACAACTATGTTTTGAAGTTAAGCATGAAGTCTCTCGCATGGATGAATATGTGTGTGTGTGTGTGTGTGTGTGTGTATTTTATCATTAAAAATATAATTCAACTAAATAATAAGAATAAATTTTAAACAAACATTGTCAAACCTATGTACTCATTTCTTACATTTCAATAATAATAATAATAATAAAATAATATTGCAAGCTCTTAAATATCCCATGACAAATAAAAAATTAGATTTTTTTTTTTTTTGAATAATAAACAAAATAAAAAGAAAATAAAAGTGTAGGAAAATATTATATCGATCATTCGATAATCGTTATCGTAGAGTTTGTGGTAAAAATTCGTAGATTCGAGTTTACGATACGATCCTTCCATCCCCCCCACTCTCTCCCCCCCCGTAATCTAACCTCACCTCACTTTTTTCTTCTTTCTTTCTCTCTCTTTCTCTCTCTCTCTCTCTCTCTCTCTCTATTACTTTATCTCTTTATTCTATTTCTTTTTAAATGCCAACAAACTCGCGGACTTCCAATCTGTTTTAGTAATAACCGTAGCAAACGATCGGACGTGACGTCACTCGGCTCGTCCAAGCCTCCAGTTCGTTCTCGCAGTAATATTGTCGTCTTTCCATTACGTTCAAAGTAACCATTCGATCTACATTCTAGACGGACAAAAGATTTCCAACTTTGATACATCGCCGGAGCCATTATAAGCTAATGTCCAACTTTGTTTGTCCCCCCCTACTTCACTTTCCACTCACCCTTCCCTTCCTTTCCCTTCCCTCCTCTTCTGTTGCTTTCTCTTCTCCTTCCCCCCCCATCCCTTTATCACCGATCATGGAAATTGATGCTCACCATATTGGACTCCTCCTTCTCCTGTTTCGTCCCTCCGATTTCAAACAACGATTTCCTGGCTTTCTAACTCTTGAAAAAATAAATACCATGATTTTTACTCGTTACTGGTGTATACCTCTATTGAATACGATTATTGTTATCTCTGATAGTACACTGAGAATAAATTTATATTATAGGAAGTATAGGAAAGAGATAAAAACATGATTTTAATGGTAGAGATTACTTTTTTTTCAATTATTATTTGATTTTATATATTATTTCGTTATTTTATCTTTTTATAGAAACGATTTGGTGAGGGAAATAGAGATATCCTATTAAATTCTGTCGAGACAGCAGTAGCACCGGGGTATCAGCTGTAGTAGCAAAAGCAGCACCACCAATGGCAGCAGCGGTTGCATAGAATTTGTGCTTAGATCGTGGAAGCCGGTGAGAACACGCGTCAACAAACCCTAAACGAACTTCGGGATTTGATCGCTCAAATGTAAACTTGGAACCGAACTTAGAGGTAGTATACACGCACGCTGGTAGAAGTTAACGACTCCGATAAGTTTGGCTTTTGATATAGAGAGCTTCGTGTAATCGCTATAGTTAGTGAGATTAATGTGATTAGGTTGTTTAGATACACTACCGCGATAACGATCGAAAGAGATTGAGAGAACAGGAACGTTGTGTATTGGACAGTATTGGCAGTAGAGTGGAAGTATGGTTAAGTCAGAAATGAGAACATTCGGAAGTAGTCTATGGTTGTATTCGATTATATTTAGTATTGGTCAATCATTGGTCAGGCAAAATTCGAAGTAGTTCTACTCGATTATTTGTCATGCGTTTAAGTAGTAAAATCAATATCTTGTCAGGAATTTGTATTACTGACAAAATATATACTTTATTATGAATATAATAATTTATAATATACTGGATTATAAATAAATAAGAAGCGTATGGTTTAGTCAGTCACGAAAGCGTTCCGAATTAGATTATATTTAGTATTTGTCAATAATTGGTCAGACAAAACTGTAAGTGGTTCAACTCTATTATCTGTCATACGTTTAAGTAGTAAAATCAATATCTCATTAGAAATTCATATTACATACAAAATTTTTGATTTTATTATGAATAAAATAGTTTATAATATACAGAATGATAAATAAATAATTTTATTCTTACAATAGTTAATAAAAATCTTGTATAGAGTAAAATTAAAATAAATGATTAAAAATAATAATTGCATGGATAAACGTTTGTGAATAAAACGAACTAGTAATAATAAATGATAATAATAATAATAATTGTTATATGCATTTGTCTATCGACTTTATGTAATAAATAATTAAACGTAAAATGTGAAATTTTACATCAGTTTGTAGAAACAAAGTTAATTTTGAGATATTTCAATTTAGGAATGATTTAGCAAACAGTATAATTGTATTCAGGTTTTGTAATGAGAGAAAAGCTAGGACAATAAGATACCAACGTAAAGAGAAAGAGGTAGATTAGTATGATATATTTAGTTAACTAAATAACAGTACCAGAGGTATTTCTCGTATTGAAAATTAAAAGATTACAATCAACATTGATTCACTACTACTATTTCTATTACTATTACTTCATTACTATTTTATTACTACTGCAAATGATCCTGTCAAGTCTGGTAAGCCAGTACAAGCATAGTTAAATTGTATGATATTTGCTTTAAGTAATTAACCGTTCATGCGGTAATGTCTCTTCCCTAAGTAACTACTTTCATTCCTTTCCCCTCTTTCCCCTCTTCCACTCTTTGTTTCTCCATCTTTGTACCCAGTGATCTATTAATTACGTACAAATATTATACCACGATATTACAGAGCTTATTTTGTATCTCAAGCTATCTGTAACAGAGATAAATCTTATCCTTCTCTTCACCTGCCCACCCCTCTGCCTTACCCTCACAATTTTAAAATAAAGAAACGTCTAATGTCAACTTTACGAGCTCACTAAGAATGTCAAACGTTATCTTTCTTAAAAACATAGATAAATCGTCTTGTAGGTATTACGTTAATTCTAAATTATTTTCTCCAGTATTATACGAACAATTTATAGTTTCGAACGAATTTAGTTTGGAAATTCAGGCCAAATCCATGATCGATAGATCGGAAAATAAAGTTTGTTAGAATTTCTAATACCATCGATAGATTAGTACTAACCCCCTTTACTAGGATTAGAATAACTAATTCGTAGGTTTATTTAATATGAAGACAATGGAAAGTGCTTACGTTTGAATATTTGAATGAGCTTTCAAAGAGTTCAAGTTTAATAAATTTATTAAACGTTAATTTTAATTGCAAATTTAAATGAATTCATTCGTATCAACGAAGTTAACAAATTCATATCCAAATTTAGCTGAACATTTGATAAAAATGAAGAAGTTTGTAACATTTAAATGTTACATTAAAGCATGCAAAGGGTTAATAATAATAATAACAATAATAATAATAATAATTCAAAGAGACTCACCAAGGGTAGTTAGCACTGTTAGAGAGTAGAGGAATGCTTTAGCGAAGTTCCACTCGTACTCTGGAATTCGTCTTTCAGTGACACTATCACCATTAACACCTGTACTACCAGTGTACGTGCCAGTATTCTGAGTAGCCATCATGTCCTCTGTGATCCTTTTTACCAGTTGATCCTGAAACCGTGAGATCTCTTGCGCAGCCAATCTCGTCCAATTTTCACGGTAAAGAATGTTCAAACTTTCGGTTAATATCCAAATATTTTCAACGGTCTTTGCACGTGCTTCATTGTTAACCTTTAAAATACAAATCACAATTGAATTTATTAATTAACTATAGAAATAAAATGAGTTTTAATGTTCACATTTAGAAGTGTTGGTTCACGTTTGAAAATAATCAAACAAATTAGGTTATTTTGTTAGAAAGATGAGTTTCATTTAAATGAATTTTAATGTTCACATTTAGAAATGTTGGTTTACGTTTGAAAATAATCAAACAAATTAATGAATTGAAAGTTACCTGTTTTAACCATGCCGTGGTGTTCCTTTTAGCAGGTTGACTAACAGCAATGGTTGCCAATGCTCGATGTATTCCAACATTATCGGTTCCCCCTTCTATAGCGAGAAATATGAAACTTCCTAATAACGTATAGGCAACCATAAGTGCACAAATACCAAGGTTTATAGCGAAACCCTTTAGGAAGGATTGTTGGCTGGCCTTGTCTGGTATTCCACCAAAACAGAGACATCTTACTTGTCTAGACGGATGTAACGTTTTAGGATGTTCAGATGCGCTTGTTGTTGTAGTTGTTGTCGTAGACGTTGTTGTTCTTTTAAGGGACGAGGTATTGCCATTATTGGCAGGCTTAAAACCCTCGTAAGCCCTATAATGTCTAACGTTGTCTTTCTCCATTCTCCCTCCTCTCAACCTTTTTCCTCAAAGGATCACCTTAATATTTTTCTTAACGACAGGAACAAACATTTGTCGCAACTCAACGATACAATCGTTTGGTTTTTATTCGATTTTTCTACCTTTGATAGCATTTGCTTTTTTTTACTATATTTCATTAAAAATGAAATATAATCTAGTCCTTTTGTTATTGTTTTCTTTTTTCTTTTGTTTATTGCTTATCAATGATGATAATAATATTGATTTAGATTAATTTGATCGTTTCATGATTCAATACAATTTTTATTTGAAATTGTTGTTAGAACAAATTGGATTTTTTTATTTATTTTTTATTTTATTTGTTTTGTCTTTTTTTTTCGTTTACTCTTGTTGATTATTCTAAAGAAATCTCATTCTTGTCAAGGAATCGAATTCTCGTAGTTCAATCGAGTTTCCCTTTTCCGACGCATCCATGTATATCCTTCTCCTCGAATTACCGATTTCGGATTAAGTTTAATCCGATTTGCTGAAGGTACTTTTCTTTCTCTCAACGATGCTATTTGATTTAACGAAACCTTGACTACACTATCTTCGTACATATATATATATATATATGTTTATTTTTATTTGTTATTTTAATTTATCACGATAACAAATTTTACATCAGATATTATCTGATAATTTTATTTTATTTTTTACATTCATTTACATTGTATATGTTTTATATTTCCGGTATCAATCTGGTAATTTGTTTTCTTCAAGTTGAATGTTTGAAGATAAGATTTACTTTGGTTAAATTTATTTGAGTCAAAACAGGATGGTGGGGGTGGTGCATCCCTTTTTTATTCTCTCCTTTATCTTATCCCTTAACACTGAGATTTTGATATTACGTTGCTCGACTAGATTCAATCGACCGTACTGAGATTGTCGTTTCAATTCATTCGACCGAAGGAACGTGAAAGGGATGATCTATCTCGTACGAAACGAGCCAAGATATTTTCTTCATTTTCTTTTTTTTTTTTTTTTATAATTTTTTTAATATTCTCGTAAAAATAAAGTATAATATATGATAAAAGCATCGTAGAATATATTTCTTTTTTGGTTTTTTTTTCCTTACTATCTAACACTTTCAATTTCCACTACTTGTTCGTTGTAAATCCACGTCTCAACACAGTCAAATTCTGCAAACAGAAAAATATACGCACGATGTTATTAATTTGTATTTTATTTTTCATTCAAAAGTATATTATTATAAATAATTATTTATTAGATGAAAATTATTGAATTTATTGTTGACGATGAATTACAAATTCAATGTTAACGTGAGTTCGAATAAAATATTTTTCATTCCCACCACTCTCTTTTTCTCTTTCTCTTTTATTTTTTCTAATTGTCAAATAAAAAAAGTATTTTATTTTTTATTCGTACTTATATTATTATAAATAATTGTTTATTAGATAAAAAATATTGAATTTATTTCTGACGATGAATTACAAATTCAATGTTAACGTGAGTACGAATAAAATATTTTTCATTCCCACCCATTTCTTTCTCTCTTTCTCTTTTATTTTTTCTAATTGTAAAATAAAAAAAGTATTTTATTTTTTATTTATAATTATATTATTATAAATAATTGTTTAATAAGGAAAAATCATTGAATTTATTTCTGACGATGAATTAAATATTCAATGTTAACGTGAGTACGAATAAAATATTTTTCATTCCCACCCATCTCTTTCTCTCTTTCTCTTTTATTTTTTTTTAAGTTAAAAAAAAAAAAGAAAGATTAGATAACAGAGAGTTTAAAAAGTAGTTAAAAAAACAAAAGAAGTAAGAAAAAAAATATTATATGAACGTTCTTGCATAAGAAAACGAGTTGAAAAATTCGTAGGATTTTTTTATCCTCCCCCCTTTTTTTAAAAATATTTTTTTCATTTTTTTTTTTTTTTTTTATTATCCCTATTGAATTCTTTCTCTTTTTTTTTTTTTTTATTAACGAAAGTAAAGTTATCTACGCTGGACTACTTGAAAATACAGTAACGCTTTTAAAATACGCAAATGGAAATGGAAGAGCTAAGAAGAGAGGAAGAAGAAGAAGAAGAAGAAGGGAATGGTGAAGTAGGTGGAAAAGTGGGTGGTAAAGGAGAAGGGTTGTGAATCGATGGAGAAGAAGAAGAAGAAGAACAACGGGACAAGAAGAAAAAAAGAAAAAAAGGTTGGTGGGGGAAGGGGTGGGGTCTTTAATCAAAGAACGAGTTATCGTCAAGTTGTCAAGGGCTTGGAATGAATAAGAAATAACGCGTTCTTTCGTTCATCGCAGGTACTTACGAATGTAAATTTCTCATTCTATTTCTTTCTCTTTTACCATACATTTATCTTCATTCATCTTTTACATTCTCGTCTTGTTTCTGTATCTTTGTGACAAAAAGAAATACCAAAAAAATAAAAAGAAAAAAATATACTGTAAAAATCTTTTCCAACAGTAATTTGGACAAAACTTTTCAATTAATTTCAAAGTACCAAAATACACAGATTGTATTAAATATTATTAAAATATATTGTACATATATTTGAAGAAAAATATTAATATATTGAATCAAATTGTTTAAACAAAATGATATATTAAAGATTAAAACTGTTATGATAGTTGAGTAAAAGATTTTAATTTTAATTAATAATATTTGAGATTCAAATATAAATAAATAAAATATTAAGGATGTATCATAGAAATTTAAGATGTCCATTTTGTCAAGATTGCATCAGGGTTTAAAAAAAAAAAAAGAATAGAAAAAGAGAGAGAAATATGAAACATTTGAAGTTCAGAAACAAATTGTAGAAATAAACAAATCATAAAAGTAAATAAATCAAACTAAAACAATATATTAATAATAATTAATAAAATAAATGACTCAAATATTGCAAAAGACTTACAATAAAAATTTGAGTTGTACATTTTGTCAGGGTTGTATCAGAGTTTCATAAAGAAATAAACTAACTAGAAAAGTTTTGAAGTTATGTATGATAACAATTGGATACTTAGAATAAAACTTGAGTATTTTCTTCTTTTTTTTATGTCTATCAATTGCAATATAATATATTATATGTTACTGTGTTAATATCACAGCTGTGTGTGAGATAATGAGAAGTGGATGAGAATAGAGAAGAAGGGGGAATAGTAAGAGTAAAATTCGTCTCACCCCCTTTTGCATTAACGTTTATGGTACTGGTCGGATGTAAAGGAAGTACGAAAAGGTCGGACTCACGCGTAAAGTGATATACTGAAATTCCGTCACGTCCCTTTTGCTACCAACTACTATACTTTCCTAACCCCATACCATCATGCTCGTTCTCTACCATTATTGTGTACTTTCATTCCCAACAATGGTGGAAATAAAGTTTGACTCTTGGAATACTGTCCGAAACACTGACACCACTCTGTTACTACTCAATTTTATTTTTAAATATTCATCATTATTCATTTTAATATAAATATTTCTTAGAGTGATTTTTTTTTACTAATATTTATTTATTTTTCGATATTTATTCTTTAATTATTAATTCATTGAAATATGAAATCAATTAATAAACGTTTCATATAATTATTGTGGTTTGTAATAAATTTGATAAAATAAATGGATAGAAGATAAATGTTAATTTAATTTATGATAAAATATATTTTCGTGTTGAAATAAAGTTTGATTTTTGGTATACTGTCAAAACCACTGACACCATTTACATTTCATTTTTTAATATTCATATTATTCATTTTAATTATATTACGAATTATTCGTAACATTTATTTATTTTAAAACGTTCATTATTTAATTATCAAATAATTGAGATATATTAAATCAACGTGTGTCTTATACATAACCTAACATTTCATGTATTTATTGTATTACACAATATATCTTGTAATAAATTAGATAGAACCAAACAAAACCACCCCTTACAATAAATGTGTTAATATAATTGATTAAAAAATATATTTGTGTCATTGTGTGATGTAAAAATAAAATTCTAATGAAAGTCGTAAGATTGATAAAGGAAAAGTTGAAAGATAAGTATCATAAGAAAATAGTGAAAAATGTTTGATAACGATCGGCAAGTTTTGGACCTTTTCGTTGACGTCATTTACACAAAATCCATGCTCGGCTGGACAACAAAGGACGAAATCTTTTGTGAAAGGCGTCGGATTCAAATCTCTTTTAACGTTTCTGACAAGTCCTTAGCATTGAATCACTTCTAGCTTTTCAAAAAAAGAAGTTAAAGATTCAAAGGGGTTATACCATTCCCATCTTATCCATGAATTTATGTATGGGGGGAGGTGAGGGGGAGAAAAAGGGAGAACAAAAATCTTTCAGGTTGATATTTTTTTTTATTATCCCTTTACGTCATTAGTTATTTTATTTTTACTTTTTTGTTTATACAATTTTTAAAGATACAATTACTGTATATAATATATGATTTTATTATTATTATTATAATTTTTTTTTCATAAATTATATATTCGTATTATTTTATTGCAAAATGGTAAAAGTTGATCGTTTGAAAATTGTTTCGTTTGTTCGTTCGAACAAATCGATTATGGGTTTAGGATGCAATGAATTCAGGTGATTTTGATTGAATACAAGTAAAAAATAACAAAAAAAAATTTATAAAATTATTATTAGCGTAAAATAATACACAAATATTACTAAGAAATAATATAAAAATTGTTGATTAATTATTGATATCAATTTGGTCAACGATCATCATCGTATTTTTAGGTTAGAATATTTTTCCATTGAATAATTTTCTTTTTTATTTACTTCGTTTATTCGTTCGAACAAATCGACGAATGATTATCGATTATGGGTCTAGGATGCAAAGAATTCAGGTGATTCCAACTGAACACACAGGACAAAAAAAAATAAGAAAGAAAGAAAGAAAGGATAGGAAAGAAAGGAAAGCAAAGGATAAAAGAGAAAAAGCTTGTAAAAGTTCTTTCGAACGATTTCCCAAAGGACCTTCCTCGATAATTCAACGTCCTTGTCGTGTCCCTAGTACCAAAGGAATTCAAGTGTCTTGCTTAAGGCATAGAAAGTATTATAGGAAACATCAGTCTCTTACTTTCTTTCTCTTTCTCTTTCTCTTTCTCTTGTTTCTTATTTGAGAAAAAAAGAAGAAAACCAAAATAATAAAACACAAACAAAC